TGGTCGATGTTAACATCGACCAGACTACACAGCGCAACAACCCAGAAGACGAAAATCTTCATACTCACCGCTGTGAAAACCTCAAATCTTACAGAGAGTATCTACCTTGCCTTATATATGAAAGGCCAGTCCTGTTGGAGGATGTTCACTTATTAACATGATCCTGCATGTACCAGCAACAAGATAATCCCCCCATCCGTCATTTTCAATGACGGTTGTTGGAATATCTTAATCACAACTATTAAAATAATTTGATTGGCTGTCCTTGGCCAGCAAGATCCTGATATGAACCTCTAGATTATTCTCTGTGAGGAATGTGAAGACAATAGTTTATACACAAGAACCAATGACAAAAATGAACTCCTTCAAAGAATTTTGGAGGCTGCAGATGACATACACAAAACAGCCATTGCTTTCTTGAGAATGTAACCACCTCAATAATATCGAGCTCAAATGGTCACAGGCAGACACTTGGAACAGCTTTTATAACATTTCATCTCTAAATAACACTTATTTCATGTTTCTCATTGCAGCTATTCTGAAATATGTTAACAAGTATGAAGACGATACATTTCCCGTACCTCCTACACCTTACTAACTATAAATTTTACTTAATTTCTGGACTGTACAGCGCCAGAAGCTTGCTTTTTTTCAATTTTCAAATTAGCTTAATAATAACAAAGTTATGAACACGTTCCCAGACTCCCCTATACGCTTGCAAGACGCAGTGTTTTGTTACATACCAGGGACCATTTCATTTACATTTACTTTTCTTGTAACTCAGTGGACCCAGGACAGATTTTACGAGTTCTGGTCTTTTGTCGTAGTGATTTCCTGGGTTAAATAAACAAATTTCAACTTGGTGCCATGTTTGTACTGTGCTCAGTTTCCTAGATACAAAATGCACATTCACAGGTCTCAAACCTGGGATTTCGTGGTTGCGGCCTATGTCTCTGTAATTTTCTAGTCTAAAAAATCTCTGATTACAGCGCCATTATTATACGGTGCTCAGTTTCTGAGTTACAGGGACCATCCAAACCAAATTCAGGGCAAATTTCCAAAGTTTTTAATTTCTCTTAAAGTTCTTCCTGCTTTCAATATACAAATATGCCAAGTTTTGTGCAAATTAAAATATTTTCTGGAGCTATACAGGAACAAGCAGTCAATGGGTCACACCGATGATGAAAGCAGCAAGTACCTCTGATATGTTGGTAAACTTCTACCATGCTGTATGGCACAACAACCATCCTCACCCTATTTCAGGCATGTCATTATCTTATTCTCAACTCTGAACTGCTTGACTAATGTACCCATTGAGTTCGGCAGACTCTTCCTGATTCAGTCTACATATTACGTCAGCTTCACCTTGCAATCAGTAAGGTGAGTAATAAAGGAACATCTGATAGTGTCTTATCATGAATGTAGCAAAAGGAGACTTGTTACGCTGTCTTGAGACTTTGTTTTCTTGGGGTGCAGATACTCTTTCCACACCCCTGGAAGCAGTTCTCTGGGTTGTTCCATTGGTGACCTAACAAGGTCTCGGGTGAACGGGATGACATAGTGGTCTGTCTTAGGAGCTCTATTATGTTGAAAGTAATACTGCAAAGAGAAAAGACAGATATTCCATTAAGAGATCACGCAATTTCAGACAAAAACTCGCCCTTGTGAACATCATGGTTGAATGGTTAGCACTCTGTTTTGTATTCAGAAGGTCCTGGATTCAAATCTCAGATCAGAGACTGCGTATTGCGAGATTTTCCATAGCTTTCCTTAATCCTTCCAGTTATATGCTGGGACAGTACCTTAAATTTAGCAACAACTACTTCCTTACATATCTTTAAAATTCATTATTCACTAATCACCATACATTATATAATTAAGTAATTCAAAACATCATAAAATAAATCAATAAAAAAGCATATGACTTGAAACTGATTGGAGCACAATTTACTGGTCCCACTGTTTTTTAATTTTAGTATGATTCAAAACATTTATATCAGAACTGTCATTATCTCTCTCTCTCTCTCTCACAGCAATGAATAAGTGTCTAGATCATTTGAACCCTATGATTATGGTCAATTTACCAAGTGCAGGATTTGAGGTTCTCACAGCGGCGAGTCTGAAGATTTCTGTCTTCTAGGTTGTTGCGCTGTGTAGTCTGGTCAATGTTTACCCTGATGACGGAGGCAGTATGACCTCTGAAACGTTGGTTGACATCGACCAGACTACACAGCGCAACAACCTAGAAGACAGAAATCTTCATACTCATCGCCCTGATGACGGAGGCAGTATGACCTCTGAAACGTTGGTTGACATCGACCAGACTACACAGCGCAACAACCTAGAAGACAGAAATCTTCATACTCATCGCCCTGATGACGGAGGCAGTATGACCTCTGAAACGTTGGTTGACATCGACCAGACTACACAGCGCAACAACCTAGAAGACAGAAATCTTCATACTCATCGCCCTGATGACGGAGGCAGTATGACCTCTGAAACGTTGGTTGACATCGACCAGACTACACAGCGCAACAACCTAGAAGACAGAAATCTTCATACTCATCGCCCTGATGACGGAGGCAGTATGACCTCTGAAACGTTGGTTGACATCGACCAGACTACACAGCGCAACAACCCAGAAGACAGAAATCTTAAAATACCAAGTGTTTCGTGTTCTACGACCCTGAGCAAGAAACACACATTCAAGAGTAAATTAGAAAATAGAAATACATAAAATGGGATACCTGTTTTGACACAGCAGAAACATGGTTAAGAGAATGTTAAAGACATGTTACACAGAACACATCATCTGCCTGTTTTGGCGTTAAGAGGCAGAAACATATCCAGGAACTTAGGTAGATACAAGCGGCAGAGATGAACTTCCTATAGATGATTTAGAAATGAGCATACGTACAAAATATGAAACCTGAATCATTACAAGAACTTGCAGGAATTGAGGAAACAGTGGTGTCACAGAGGATAGGATGTCAACGAGCACGTTAAAATAAAGTTGTTGAGCAAATGACCACTGGGGAAACTGAGCAGTAAGTGGAGAGATGAAGAGAATACACACAAAAGAGTGTACGGAAAGAGACGACACAAACAAAGAAGGATCAGTTATGAACAACAGAGAAGAACGGTGAATATTCTGTCATAAGGTAAACCCCACAGCGATGACATCAATAAACATTAAGAACACTGATATTACTGATGACACTCACCTGTATAGGATTCGAGTTGATCAGTCTTGCTTTCCGCACGTGGAAATATAATTGTTTTGGATCTCTACCTGGCAACATGTACATTGATACTAGGTTCATGACTTCTATGAGCAATCCCTTGATTTTATGTTTAGAAGTTGATGGAGGCTGAGATGTCACTTTCAAGTACGCTTCAAACTGCTCTAGGCCTATTGCTATCAATCTGAAAGTGAAATAAAAACTGAGATAATACCAATGAGACATCATCACTGTTAACCCTCTCAATGATGTGGAGATTTGTCAATAAAGTCTAAACCAGGGGTTCCCAATCCAAAGTTTGTCGACGTGCTTTGCATAGTCCACGTCCATTTTTATAATTCTGCATACTTAGCATGATGATGACTGTTTGTGTTAAAATACATTTTCAAGTAATGTGAACCTGTTCGTAATAGCAAGTTATTAGTACACATTTTCTTCCCTATAACCTTGTGGTCCACGAGCTGACAAGCAAGAGTGAATGTGGTCCTAGGTTTGTCAGTGAAGTGACTGCCTGTAAGCTGGGTTTCAAATCAGCTATAATACTGAAGTTATATAACCAATCCTTTGTAATATCAATGATCTAATTACACTAATAATAACAGGAAAGAAGTGCAAAGTACAAAGCCACCATTACCCTTATTAACGCTTTCTTGCTTTTACTTTCAAAAGCAGATAAAAGCTTGTTAATTTACTTAATACCAAACAACATTCCTACTGCTTAAAGGATGAAACATTACATGAAACATGGCAAAAATTCTTAATTTTATGTTTTCATACCTTAACAGTTGAAGACAAGACCTGAGAGAGAGTGCACAGAGAAGTCAACGTAAAAGTAATTGAGAGAAAAGTTATAAAATAAGTAATCAAACTGGGCCAAATACTATATAAGTTTAATAAAATATTACACGCACGACTATTAAACAATACTAGTCAAGAAATTTGTTGTAACGTTGTATAAAATCCTTGGAATTTTTGTAACTATATTTATGGGCATGCTGACGAAAAGGGCCATGGGTGATGGATGAAAAGTGACCAGAGAAATATATCACAGGAATAAATAATTCCGCATCTTCTAATTTTCTATGATGAACATGTAAAGAATACAAAAGTATAGGTAAACTTCGATTTGCGCCGATTCAGAATAACGCCGCTTTCGAAACCATCACGTCAAAAAGTGAAAAAAATATATTTTACTATTATTTATAACGTTTTACAATGTTTCTCGTACTGATTCTTATACTAAATCGTAATTCTTACATCGCTGATTTTGAATAACAATTATAAATGCATTCACCTCTGCACTCATTGCGAGATAATCTCCTAAAAATCTGCCAACATTGCGCAATAGTCACGTGAGCATTGGTCACTCTTCACGGTGAGTCATTTGCGTTCATCCTGATAAGGGAGTAAGGAAAAATGCACTCAGTTCGCTTCTTGTTGACACATTGAATGTGCTAAAAACTGTGTTCTAAACGTGTTTGTGTTGTTGTTCGACCACTATTCTGCACTAGCAACTGTTTTATATTTATAAATCGTAGAAGAGCCACCATGTCTGGTAAGAGAAGTGAATGTGATGCTAAAAAGTTGCGTAGGTCTATTGCGTCAGAAGATAAGATGGACGTAATGTGTAGGATAGAAGGTGGTGATACCGTATGAAGTTGCCTCCTTCCACTGTGACTACCATAATGAAAAATTCATATAAAATAAAACAGTTAATGGAACAGGCTACGAGAGTAAGTGCAACGCAAGTGAGTCATAGCAGAAGTAAACTTTTAGAAAGAATCGAGAAATTACGATTGGTATGGGTGGATGACATGAATCGAAAAAACATTCCCTTGACTGAAGTTGCTATCACAGATAAGGTGAAGTCAATTTTTGAGGAACTTAAGTCGTCAATGTTTGGGTGCCAGGAACGCATGTCATTGACTTCCCATTGATTTATATTAGAAAAAGAGTTTCAATTTACGCCGGTTCGTCCAGGAACGCATCCCCGGCGTAAATCGAGGCTTACCTGTACTGAAATGTAAGACAGCTGTCCTACAAAAGTAAGTTCAGTAAATCAAGCAGTACAGAGTAAAGAGAGACGTCTCATCACAGAAAAATTGGATTAAGACTGTAGCGAGAACACATGAAATAAACAGATTTTAAAATGTGGCATATTACTTTCAAATAAAATCTTTTAATACTAAATGTGAAGCGACTTACGAATCTTCAGATGGAACAAAGCAAGGCTTGGTGAATCCATCACATCTAAATGGTTGAGGTGGTAAAAGCAATGGGTATAAGAAAACCTCACTCTGGCCGACAAGTTCCAAGAACTGTGGTGGAAATTCACACCTGTACACTCGTTTCTTGTTCCATAGCAACACTCTGAAAAGCATCCAAATGTAGTCCATAAGATTCTTTTCTTAATTTCCAGTTCAGCAAGGTACATGACTGAGTCACTGATTTTACATATATGTAAAATAAATAGTAAAATAAAAATAATACCAGCAAAGTTATAAAGTATTTTAAACTATGAACATAAACTTACGCTGTATCTATTTCCTTCTGCACAAAGCTGAAAAAAAAAAGAAAAAAAAACATATTAGTAAACATGTGTTACTGTCTGAAAATGAGGAAAATAGACTGGAAAATGCACTTAATGTTTCCTAAACTGGAGTTTTCTCGCATTTAATATTTAATTTTTACCATGCAGAAATAAACGATTTAAAGCTACATACTAAAAGGCTGACAGACATTACAAATATTGATACTATAGCATGATGCGAATAATGGAAATGGATTTCCTAAGAAGAGCGGCTGGAATTTCCAGGAAGAAGAGAGTGAGAAACAAAAGGATTAGAGAAATCGTGAGGATGGATCGTGATATAATTGAGGAGATAGAGAAAAGACAACTGATTTGGTACGGACACGTGCAAAGGATGGAGGAGGAAAGGTTACCAAAGAATATTAGGCATCGGAAGGCCTTAGTAACGGTCAAGAAACGGAAGAAGAAGAAGAAGAAGCATGATGTGTAAAAATTTAGAACATACAGAAACACTGAATGCAAATCACTGATAAAACCTTCCAAAAAGAATCATTTCTGACTCACGACTGCCAACACCACATAACCTTTTGTCTCCTCCTCATGCAATGTCCTTCATAACAGCTGATTTTATGCTCTGTTTATTCCACAGTGCAAGAAAACTCTGTCGATGGAGCAGAAAGATTCCAAACACACTCATTACAGCAAACAGTTACTGACAACATGCTACTTATTTTAACATGTGTGAACTATATTTAAAATTAAGGAGCTGAAGGTATATTATTGGTAGCGAACTCTTGTAATATCGGACTCGTCATAACAGTTCATCTCGTAAAACAATTTTTCTGTATACGTGAAATTAAAATTCATCCATGAGAATGAGAGAGAATTATTTACAAGCTTACAAAGCAGGCCTAACACTGTCATATTAAGAAAAATTAAAAAAAAAAATACTTTTTACTTACTTGGTGATTTCAGATGCTTCTGGAGAGGACGGATTCAACTTTCTCTCCCATATTTCTATTAGCGTGAGTGCCGCAGGCAAATTTGCAGCAATAAAGGCTGATTCTGTATTTGTACCACCAAGA